ATTTGGTAGCTGGGCGGCTTATGAATGATGGCAAGAATTAAGTTTTCTCTAGTCCAACACCAGAGAAAATGTGTACACAGTAGTATTACTGGGGGTAACTGTATAAAATTATTCTTTTCATATGCCTTCACTTGTAGTGTTATTCGCTTTAAAAATGGTGTTGCATGAGAATGTGTTGCTGTTATTTATTCTACTACAACGTGAAGACAGCTTGTACACAATGTAAGGTGGTTTGTATTGTGGTAAAAACTTTAGACATATGTGGGAATGAACATGTATGAACTGTAAGCGTACAAGTATTAATACATGTTCATGTTTGTTTACATTCTCGGCGTCTCTCGTTTACTTGTTCTCTCTTGTTTATGACGGCATCTAAGTCTAGTTATTAGAAATGATTAAACTCGGTGAACAAGGTACGTATGTCAGTGGTAGTAATAATAATTGCTCTGGGATGCTTTAAATTTAAGATGTATATTTCATGTAGGTGTGGTAGCTGGTGACTTTCTACAATACTCACCTCTCGCCCTACATTAAGACTACACACATTTTAAGGTAAATAATGAGTGTACTGTATGTGTATTTTATAGCTCTGGGGTGCTTTAAATGCCATATGTTACATGTAGGTGTAGTAGCCAGGTGAGCTACCATCTGACTTCCAACAATATATACTCGCCTCTCACCCTACGTTAAGGCTACACATATTTTAAGGGAAGTAATGATTATTATTATAATCAAAAAGAAGTGCTAAGCCACAAGGGCTATACAGCAGGGAAGTAATGAGTGTACTATACTAAGTGTGCATTTTACTTTTTTATTGTTTTTAATGTCTCGTGCTATTGCTAACTTAATATATGTTAGTGTAAACTTATCTGGCATTTATAAGTGGAAAAGAAGGGTGTTCCACTTTACGGCAGTAGTCTGGAAGCTAACCTGCTGTATAAGTGGGGCCCTACCGTATTAGTAACTTTCCAGATACCTTTTTACACCACCCATCTATGGTTCATCTCATCTTGCACAGACTCACCTACTGACTTGTCCACTCTCCAATATTTAAATATGTCCATTTCCTCCATACTGCCTCCACTCTTAATATTTAATACAGTAGACTGTCATTTAGCACGAGTTTATTTGGCACGATTTGGGTATAGCACGATTGAAGAATTGCGGCACAATTTTATGTACTAACACATTGTAAAATTAATTTAACACGGCTCAGTTTGCAGGAAGGAAAAAAATTCCCTTTTCTTCAAGCGGCCACCTTGTTGTGGAGCAGCAGGGGAGACCTCCCACCATCCCAGCATTCGTACTTCATACATGTCCAGTCTTCTCTGCTGCAAGTTAGCTGTGTTTGTGAATTGTGTTTTGATCTTTTAATTACTATATCTTGTAACTGTCAAGCAATCATGACACCCAGTAGGCATACCAGTGTTGCTGAAAGTGACAAGGTATAAGCATTTAAAGTCTTAGAATTAGCAAAGGTATTAGACAAGAGATAACCTGTGGTGTAATGAAGTGTTACTTTGTACACACAAAAAGAGGTAAACATAAGTTTGTGTAAATAAAAAAAAGGCACAATACCGTGACTGGAACAATACACAAATAACCTGCATGTAGAAGAGAGGAGCTTACGACGATGTTTCGGTCCAACTTGGACCATTTACAAAGTCACACTGTGACTCTGTAAATGGTCCAAGTCGGACCGAAACGTCGTCATAAGCTCCTCTCTTCTATGTGCAGGTTATCTGTGTATAAGTTTGTGTGACTGAATGACTTGACTGGCTGACTGAACGACTCGACTGAATGAATAACTTAGACACTCCAGAACAGCAGTTGACTTCAGTACCAGAACCTCTACCATCCACCTCAGCCCAGTAGGGCCACAACATAACTCTCCACTCTCTTCACAATCATCCACAAACACCAGCACCACAATTTAAGGTAAATACTATTATTTCTGTTATATTTGTAGTCTTAAGCAGTAAAAACAACATAATACATCACAATGAACTACAATTACATATTCACTTTCATTTTTGTAAGAGGTGGAGGCCTAAAAAAAAGTTGTTTGGCTGCTTTGGGGCTCTCAGGAACGTAACCCTATTTTTCCCATAAGTTCTTCAGTTCACCTCACACGGTTTTACCTCGCACCGTATTTTCAGGAACGTGACTACCATGTTAAATGACGGTCTGTTGTATATCATTCATAAACTTTTTGTGACCCTCATCACCTTACACAATAACCAGCTCATAAGAGAATGAAACTTGTGATGTTTTGGTCCGACTTGTACCATTAACATTTTGAGGAGCCATCCCATAGTTCTACAGCTTTGAAGCCAGGGTCCAAGCTGTAGTTCCATGCCATGAGCTCAGCTCACTCAGATAAGCTATGAGTGGTAAATTTGGGCCTGGATATGAAAGAACGTCTGTGTGGTAAGTGTGCACTACATAAAGCAAATCACGCAGTGCATGAGAAAAAAAACTGCGACCATATTTTTTGATTAAAACAGCGGCTTTGTGGTGTTTTTTGTATGTTTTTACAGTTGTATTTGCATTTTCTTGGTCTCATTTGATAGAAGGGAAGATATATTACAGAAATAGAGATGATTTTGATTAGTTTTATTACTGAAAATGGCTTGAAACTGAGCTCAAAGTAGTGGAAATGTTCGATATTTTCTGATGTTCAAGAGTAAACAAATGATGTCATATGTCCAATACATGTCAGCTGGTGGGTCTAGTGTGCATTTATGAATGTGCTGATGTTATTTATACAATTATTACAATATTGCATAACAGTAAATATTCTATTTTTTGGTGTGAAAAAAATAAAAATGGAATTCATTTGTAAAGCCTGGAAACTAATAAATGGAGGAAATGTTATTTTAGTGCCAGGAATTATTATTATTATAATCAAGGGGGAAGTGCTAAACCCGGAGGATTATACAGCGCCTGGGGGGGGGGGGGATGTGGAAGGCATTCAGGCTTAATTCGGCGAACTGGAGCTCAGATCCAATTCCCTAAATCAAGAGCCCCTCACCAACATCAAGGAACCTTCCTTGAGGGGAGTGCCAGGAATGCCTGCATTGTTTATTCTGGACCCTATTTTAAAATTGGTCAAAATACCAATTTCCGATCACTTTATTGCGTAGTTGAAACAGTTGACTGGGTGGTTTCGTGTGCTCAATAAAATAGAAGTAATACTAGCAAAATAGCTAAGAATTGGCCTAAAATGGAAATCAAAGTGGGCAAAATTGCCGATGCGTAAATATTGCTGATGCAGCAAAATTCGCAAGGGTGTAATTTCATCAATTTTCCATCAGATTTCTTGCTTGTTTTATTACCTTCAGAAAAAGATTCTCTACCATTTCATAAGAAAAAAAAAATTTGTGAAAATTCTTGGACCCTGTAGACAAGTTTCAGATTGGGGGTCTGGACCCTGAAAAGGGTAACTAGTCACAAGTATGAAAGGAAGGGGCTGGTAGTATAATTAGTGCAACAGTGGTAATAAAGGAGTAGTCCTGGAAGTATAAGATCAGAGGAAAAGGAGCACTGCGGAGAGCTAATGGCCCTTGAGGGTAGGCAAAATTCCACGAGACGGAACCCATCTAGGAAGAAAGGCAAGGGAAAGGACAAGAGGTGAGGTGAGGAAGAGATAAAGATAAGGTCAAGTCACAAGTGTTCTGAAGTTTGGAGTATATGACAATGTAATGAGAAAGGAAGGCATCTACAGGGATCAAGCCAGGACTAAGATTCATATTAGTTATGTAAGCATGCGCCCCCATCCCCATAAGACTGCATCTGCGAAGGGTAGACCGCTTTGGCAGAGGACCAGTTAATAAGATGACTGTGTTAGACTTGCCAAAACTAATGCGCTTTTCTATCGTGTTAGAGATCACAGCTATCTTATTAACTGGTCCTCTGCCAAAACTGTTTGCCCTTCACAGATGCTGTCTTGTGAAGGAAGGGGGGAGTCTCATGCTTAGGTTTAATTTAACCCTTTCTGAAACTTGCTCTCAAGGTTGGAGAAGTTAAAAAAAAAAAAATGAAATGACAGAGAATCTTTTTCTGAAGGCAGTGAAATCAAAAGTATGGAATTAAGCTCTCTCAAAGTTACTGGTCTCTGCAATATTTACGCATCAGTGATTTCACCTACTTTGGGCTCTATTGTTGGCCAATTTCATTGTTCCCGTTGACCAATCTCGTAGCATTCCTACCCAATACTGATCAGAAATCGGTAATTTGGCTAAGTTCACAGAAAATTCAAAAATTGCCAATTTCAAAATAGGGTCCAGAATAAACATTAGATATTCCTGGCACTAAAAACATTCTCTGTTCACTAGTCGTGTCCTCTTCTCTATTGCGCTTGCTTTTCATTTTGAATCACACAAAAAATAGATTTACTGTTATGCAGAATACTGCATTAGTGTAATTGTTTAAATAATGTCAGCCCATTCACAAACACACATTAGACTGAGCGACATAATTTGTGTACTCTAGAATACTGGCAAAAATTGAGTATTTCCACTGAGCTTATTTCAGGCTACCTTTTCGGACTGGTCGCCATTGCCCAGCAGTGAGGGTAGTGACTCTCATTGCTGAGGTCCAGGACATTAACATAAAAAAAAATCCTGTAATGAGACCATGAAACCGAGAATACCCTACAAACTTGCCGTTTTAAACCAAAAAGCACTGTTGCTGTTTTGCACTGCGTGCTGCATGATATTTTTTTTTATGGTGCACACTTACTGTACAGACCCATTCTCTCATACCTAGGCCCAAATTTACTGCTCAGAGCTGATCTCGTCCTGTAGAACAATGGGACCGACCCTAATCTCAGTGGTTATATCTTGCCGAGGCAGGTGATCCAAAAAGAAAACATTCACCATCATTCATAAGTTGTCTTTCCAGAGGGACAAGAAATTTAAGGTAGGGTCAGAATCATTCTAGTTACTTTTAAGAATGTAAACTTTGTAGTAAAGTTATAATTCACTGTATTACCCCTGTTCATTTTCTAGGAAGTTTTTATTTAGATTTTGGATACATATGAATCTTTTACAATAGTCTTGATGGCACACAGATGTTATAGGCACAGATTAAATCTACATTATGTACTTGAGATAATTCAATAAAGTCAAATATTACTGTATTTATTACAGCTGCTTATGAGTGTCTATATCCAACTAGACCTAGTAGGGCAAGATGAACCCTTCCCACACATTTCAAGATAAAGTAATATCTACTATGTAGGGTGTCATACCTTTACTAATTTTATGAAATACTGTAAAGTTGGCTTTTTTTTGGGGGGGGGGGGGGGGGTGGCAAAGAATGAAACCCTATTTTGTCCTCAAGTTCAGCTTGCATACAGCACCAATTTCAGGAATGTAACCTGTGCAATGGGTCTCTATAAAAAATATTTAAATACAACAGAATTGAAGGGAAATGAAAATGCAACATAATATACTAGTATGGCATGAATGTACAATAAAATACACTAACCATTTTGCTTTATGACCACATTAGGATATACTCGCAATGTAGCAGCAGCACATTTAATACCATATTATTTATTTGTACAATGCATTGCATTATGCTAAACATGCCATTCTACATATTTAAAAATTCATGATCTTGTTAGTCTTCAGTGTGCTATGCAAATATTTCTGGACTTGGCAACTATATTAATTTCTACAAAATATATAAAATAAACAGCATTTGGAAGAGAATTCTATGGGTATTCTGGTCCTGCAATATTCTAGTCGCTTCAGCAATCAGTTGATCTGGACTTGAATTACAAAGATTTACACAATTTGCTTCTTTCAACAGCAAGGCAAAAATTTCAATTCTTCCAGCACCTGGATTATTTAACCATTTTTTGAGCTACTCTGACAACCATATCAGATGTAAACCATCAACAAGCAGTCCCTTCATCGTCATCATCATTAGAAGCATTTGGAAGATTGCTTCTCACTGCTGAAGCTTGGTTGTGAGAAAGAAATGCCACATTTGCTGGCTTCAACAGAGGACCAGGATGAACCTGTGGTCCTCCACTTGTAGAAGGACTTGACAAGTAACTAGTGCAAGGCTGATGTAGATGAGTTGTTCCATGGTGGAGGTGACTTGTATTTGCAAATGGGCGTTGATGGGGTGGTGGTACATTAGCAGGTGTGAGAGGAGAAGGGGAGAGGCAAGGTGTAGTGCAGTAGGAATTGCTAAGATCACATACATCCAAAAGTCGCAGAAGTTCTGTTGGCTCTGGACCACCACTAACAAGTGCTCCTGAAATTTAATGAAAGTTATTGGATTAGTCTTCATATTTTAGCAAGTTAGATATTTTTTTGTATATCTGATATAATAAATCAACCATGGTTATCTTCATTTTATTATGTAGGAGGAAGCATTAAACCCCTGGGGATTCAAATGAGGGAATGACTGGTCCAATTCCTTGGATGAAGAGCCCCTCATAGGCATATTTTGGTTTAACAGTGTAATACATTACAACAACTTGCATATTAGGAATATATTTATCATCTCGACTGCTACTTGTCTATAACCAGAAAGGCTTTCTTACGCAGTGAAAACCAAGTTTGTTCCTTATGTCTAAGCATGGAAGCATAAACCATGATTAGAAAAGCACTGCATTGCCCATAAGGGTTTAATGCTTTCTTGTGAATGTAATAAATTTTTCTTTGCAAAACACTAGAATCATATGGTTATTCTGAGCTTTAAACATGTAGTATTATTTATAACACTGAACTTGTGCAGTTATTAGCAATTTGCTACTGTAATGATTAATTCACCTTCTTATTACTGTACATAAATCATGCACACCTTTATTCCATCTAGCAACAAATTGATGACTAATCCAATTTTGGTACTTTCCCCTGCCCTGCCATAACAATGAATACAGAGAAACCTCAGTTGTCAATTGCATTACTTTTCAAATAAATCTGTTTCTGGATGAGGTGTTAGAGAAAAAAAAAAAAGTCCTGGTTTTCATAAGTTCTCTTGGTTATCGACAAGACAATTTTTAATTGAGTGGGTTCATGAGGTCTTTGCTTCCACTGTCAAAAAGTACCTCATTAAAAACAATTCCCACTCAGGATCTTTTACTTATGCAAAATGCTTCTGCTCACCCTCCAACCTTGGAAAATGAGTTACTGGAGGAGTTCAGTTTTATAACTCTGAAGTTCTTGCCTCCTAACACCACCACTCTTATGCAGCCCATGGACAAGCAAGTCATTTCTAACTTCAAGAAACTCTAAACCAAAGCACTTTTTGAAAGGTGCTTTGTAGTCCCTTCAGAAACAAATTTAACCCTCAGGGAGTTCTGGAAGGACCATCTCAATATCCTCATCTGCTTGAGGCTTACAAAGCCTGGTAAATGTGTCAACCAGGAATTCTGAAGGCTTTGAAGCCGAGCTGGTAGAGGATGTGTCCCTGGGAAAGACCTTGGGCCTAGAGGTGATTGATGATGTGGAGTTAGAACTGAACTCGCCACAGAACTTGTAGCCCTTAAGAAGGAGCAGCAACAGACCGCAGTGGAGGAACTGTCATCAGAGGAAGAGGGAAGGGATGATATGCCTACTGCACTTGTCAAGGAAATGTGTGCTAAATGGTGTGAAGTGCAGAAGTTTGCTGAAAGAATACCATACAGACAAAGCAGTGGCCATCTCTTTCACATGTACAATGACAGTGTAATATCTCAATTTAGACAAGTGTTAAAATGAAGCCTGAAACAAACCTCACTGGACAGGTTTTTTAGCGAGACGAAGAACCAGAAGAAGGTGCTAGTGGTAAAGAGAACACCAGGAGGACAGTTGCCCGACATTAATTGACTTTCCTTTCAAGTAGTAACATTCCTCCTTCCTCTCCTACACCACCTGTTTCCAGTATGCCATTAGCTCTCCTCTGACAGGTAAGAGGCATTTAGATTTTCATTTTTACAGTTTCCCTGTGCTGTATAATTTTATACATTGTTTTATGTAGTTAGTACATTAATATACATATACTGTATTGTCATCTGGGGTCTGGAACAGATTAATTCTATTTACATTATTCTTCATGGGAAAAAATGCTTTTGTTGTTGAATTGACATCTGGAATGAATTTAAAAAAAATCACCACCTTCATTTAATATTTGACAGTCAACAAAGGGATGGTTTATAAATAACTGCTGAAAGAATACCATACAGACAAAGCAGTGGTTTATTTCCTCAAGTCTTTAAATTAGGGACAACAAACTTTGGCCAGGCAACCCATGAAATGTTCCTATACTTAAGAGTTCATCTTCCATTGAAATAAACTGGAAGCTTCTTTCAGAAGATAAAACATGAGTGTTCTATGTCATCCCCTTAACAGTAGCCTATATAGCTTATGCCCAGGTCTGCAGTATTATAAAAATTAGTCATGCCATAATACACACACACACCAACACAATGAATAGGTATGACCAAAAAGTGATGCGAGTACTAAGGACATATACCATCACCACATTTTGTTCTCAGCATGTGCTAAGCCAGTAACACACACAAAAAAAAAAGCAACAGATGCTATCACATGCAGTGTTAGTACATGTTCAAAAGTTCCTATATTTTTTTTTTGCTCAACACACTTAAAATAATCTCCATGGGGAAGTGGAACAGAATTCTTCCTCCATAAGCCATGCATGTCATAAGAGGCAACTAAAATGCCAGGAGCAAGGGCCTAGTAACTCCTCCTGTATATATCAAGTTAAAAAGGGAAACTTTTTTTTCTCTATGGGCCACCCTGCCTCAGTGGGATACAGCCAGTTTGTTGAAAGAAAGAAGACAACAATAAATATTTTGCACCATTTGTTATACTTGCCCAGTTCAACCCTTAAACTGTCCAAGCGTAGATCTACGTTTGCTCATGTAGTGCTCCGAATGTAGATCAACTTTTTTTTTACATTGTTTCTTATGGAAAAAATCAAGGTCAGAGCACTACATGTGCAAACGTAGATCTACGTTTGGACAGTTTAAGGGTTAAATCCTCACTTTTGTCAGGCTTCACAGATGAGTTATAACCATTTCCCCCAATAACGGAAGTCTTTAATGCCAGTGAAAAGCTCTTGATCCAAGGAACTAGACCTGATCTCTTCCTTGGACTGAACTAGACTGCCTCCCATTCTCCTGGTGTTGTATGTCCCCTACTGGTTTGGAGCTCCCCCATGAATGTGATGTACTATCAATATACCTTTTCAATTCAAATTCAAATATTTATTTCCTTGTAAAGTTTACAATGTGTGGTTTACATGTTATAAGATTTTAATTACAAAGATGGCCACTAACATGCCTAGGCACTTTGGGCAGACTAATTCTTACTCTACTGTATATTGATACAGGCTATATTTGAGCGTAACATATAAACATATTTTAATTTTTTTTTTCAACAAGTTGGCCGTCTCCCACCGAGGCAGGGTGACCCAAAAAGAAAATGCTTTCATTATTCAACACTTTCACCTCACTCGTGCATAATCACCCAGATACAACAGTTTAGAAGCATATAAGAACATAAGAAAGGAGGAACACTGCAACAGGCCTGTTGGCCCATACTAGGCAGGTCCTTTACAATTCATCCCACTAACAAACATTTGACCCACCCAATTTTCAATGCTACCCAAGAAATAAGCTCTGATGTGCATGTCCCACTCAAATCCAACCCCTCCCACTCATGTACTTATCCAACCTAAATTTGAAACTACCCAAAGTCCTAGCCTCAATAACCCAACTAGGTAGACTGTTCCACTCATCAACTACCCTATTACCAAACCAATACTTGCCTATGTCCTTTCTAAATCTAAACTTATCTAATTTAAATCCATTACTGCGGGTTCTCTCTTGGAGAGATATCCTCAAGACCTTGTTAATATCCCCTTTATTAATACCTATCTTCCACTTATACACTTCGATCAGGTCTCCCCTCCAAACTGCCAATATCCCAAACCTCTCCTTTGACTGTTTCAGGCCCCTCTCTGAAACTGTCATTCTATGTCGCTCAATTTTTGAAAAAAAAAAAAAAATTATTTTTTTCTTATGAAATGATAGAGAATCTTTTCCCAATGGTAATGACACCAAAAGTTCGAAATTTGGTCGAAAACTCGTGGAATTATGCTCCCGCGAAGTTAGCGGTCTCGGCGACATATGCGTATCGGCGATTTCGCCGACTTTGAGCCCTATTTTCAGCCAAATTTCCCTTGTTCCAGTTGACCAAACTCATAGCTATTTCTTTAGAACTCCATTTTATCTATCAGCTGAGTACAAGAAACCTCCATTTACTAATTTGGCTACCCAATATGGTGGTTCAGAAATTGGCAAATTTTGGGCCAATTTCACACAAAAAAAAAAAGATGCCAATTTCAAAATAGGGTCCAGAATAAACAAGGTAGACATTCGTGGCACTAAAATAACATATGCTCTGTTCATTAGTCACATCTCTAGGCCCCTCTTATATTATTATTGCTTTCTATTTTGATTTTTTATTCATACAAAATTTACTGTTATGCAGACGACTGCATTATTGTAAAAATGGTATAAATATCAGTGCACTAGTGAAAGAATATTAGACTCCCCAGTTGACGTGTATTGGACGTGTGGTGTGATTTATTTACTCTTGAACATTGGTAAAAATCGAACATTTCCGCTACTTTGAGCTCAGTTTCAAGGTCGTTTTCATTGTAAAAGTAATGAAAATCATCTCTATTTCTGTAATATGTTTTCCATTTTATCACCTAAGACCATGAAAACGCGAATACAACGATAAATACTATACGAAAATACACCTCAAAGTCGGCGTTTTATTCCAAAAAAACGATCAGAGTTTTTTTTTTCTCATTACGCAATGTGTGCTGCAGGAGTTTTTTTATGTGGTGCACACTGACCACACAGACCCATTCTCTCACATGTGGGCCTACCAGCTTTCTCCCACTTGATTTGAAGCCCCTAGAATTATTGAGTATATATACGTCAGAAACATTGGCTCGTAAGACGTATTTATACGTCGAAAACAGTCAAAGGGTTAAAGTGCAGGCATTGTACTTCCCATTTCCAGTACTCAAGTACAGCTATATAAAAATAATTGGTTTTCCCTGAATCCCTTCACTAAATATTACCCTGCTCACACTCCAACAGCTCGTCAGGACCCAAAAACCATTCGTCTCCATTCACTCCTATCTAACATGCTCATGCACGCTTGCTGGAAGTCCAAGCCCCTTGCCCACAAAGCCTCCTCCAACCTTTTTGAGGACGACCCCTACCCCAC